GATGAAATCTCTACAATAGTTGCGTTAAATAGCATTGAAAATGTAATTAAATATATTCAACAAAAAGATTTAGAAATTGGTAATTTAGAAATGAAAAATTTAATTAAATTGAAAAAAAGGATCTTTTTTGATAATATAAATGAAAAAAGGCAAAGTAAACTAAATGAATATTTTGATTTTAATGTATGACAGATAGTTCTTTTATAATAATAAAATCATATTCATTTTTGAATAAAATTTTGAAAATTTTGAACGAAAAATCACGTGATTTCTTGGTATTTCGGATTTTTCATATATTTTTATATAAATCCGGTTTGGCGAGATTTTTTTGATATATTGGATGTCTTGATATATCGGATATTTTTACTAGAACCAACTGATCCGATTTATCGAGATTGCCTGTGTACTTGTGATTTTTTTATCACCGTTTTTAAAATGGTATGCGCAGTATCGATCATGCATTAAAAATGAATACCCGCTAAGAATACCAGGGGGTTGTTATCACGTGAACATTATCCAATTATCGCCATTTTCAAAATGGTATGCGCAGTATCGATCATTTGATTAAAAAAACCCCAATTTTTGCCGAATATTTTAAATCCAATATATGCGTCGCATTATTTTTTAATGATACCTAGGATTTTCCAGCATTATTTGCACTAGTAGGTTCACCTACAGCTTTTTATAGAGTTATAGACCAAGTTATTACGTAATATTTAAACGTTTTTTTCGTTCAAAGTTTGCGATTATTCGCCGATTATTAAGATTATTCAAATTTTTCAACTTTAGACGTTGTTTTTTCCCAATGGCTCGTGCTTTTAGTGAGGATCTGAAGTGGAGAATTATTTACCTTCATCATGATGGATATAGTCGAATAAAAATTGCCAGATTATTACACATTAGCAAACGCACTGTTGATAATATCTTGCAAATATATGTACAATGGGGAACGGTAATAAATCTATGGCAAAAACCACCAGGACGTCATAAAACACTAACTCAAAATGAAATGAAGGTAATTTATAAGTAAAATAGTGTATTAATTCACTTTTGAATATTACTAATTGTATTATCAATTTAGATATTACGAGAGTTAATTAAGGACAAGGTGGATTGGTATTTAGACGAATTAGTAGGAGAACTTGAGCAACAGACAGGAAAGTTGGTTTCTATTCCAACTCTTTAGCGATCTTTAGTTTACTGTGGAATTAGTAGAAAGAAAGTATGTGCAAATTTATTATTTATTTATTTGTAGTTTTCTTTTTTTGTTATTTTTTTTGTAATTTATTTTTATTGTTTTTGTATAGTTACATCAAGTAGCTTATGAACGGAATGAACTTCTTAGAAGCACATTTATTGCAAAAGTTGGACGTGATTATAAACCTGAACAGCTTATATTTATGGATGAAGCTTCTAAAGATGAACGCACTTTATCTCGTGGATATGGTTATTCTTTAAAAAATACTTTTGCAATTAAAAAGAATGTATTTGTATGTGGAGTTCGTTATACAATATTGCCTGCATTTTCTTTACAAGGCATTATTGCTGTAGACATCATGGAAGGTAGCTGTACGAAAGAAATTTTTAAAAATTTTGTTATTTCAAATGTGGTAAGTTTAGGAATTGTTATAATAATTATTATCTTACTTATTTTACCTGTAATATTTATTTTTTTTTCTTGTATTA